CCAGAGATGGGGAGCAACAGCGAACGGACAGCAAGGCGCTGAACTCCCCATGCTTCCTTGGGTGCCCATGGAGACAGGGACACACAGAAATGACAGCATAGGGCACGTAAGGTAACAGTGCTGAGAAGGGCAAATTTCGCTTCCCATTTCTATGTGTGATACAGACAGGGTTGTAAAAGCAGGACTTTAAACCTCGCATGGTGGCACGCTGGAAGGACACAGAGGTGCCTGTCTGGCTGCCACAGAGGGGAAACTGTCCTTCCTCCCAGGGATGATACTTCTGTATTTGAGCAGGTCAGGCAAGAGTTTCTCTTCTGCTATGGAGCTGAGGGGTTCCCCTTGAAAACCAAGCTGGGAGGGCACGTGCCTATTGTGCTGAAAGGGTGAAGTGCATCAACCTAGGCTGAACTAAACCTTTACTGGAGAAGTGAAGAAAACTGTAAGGCCAGGAGAATAGCTGCATCCCAACAGCAGGCAGGAGGAAAAGAGAGGTGCGTCTCATGAGAGCTGTCATTCCTTAGTTAAAAAAACTTCACCTGGAACAATAATCTGGGTTAGGGAACCCTCACTGCAGAGCTCTGAAGTCTCTGCGCTGGGATGGCTGAGCTCTGGTAATTAACACAAGAGATGTCTCAAATGCAAACTGGGTCCCAGCTCCAGTGGCTGGCGGCTCGAGCTCACCCTGCATCAGAGCAGCCCTGATTTAGTCTGACGTAGTTGAGAAAGCAAGAAGATCTCTAGGGCTCGCTCAGACGGGAGTACCTTTGTCCTTCCCTCATTTGTTTCTGCTTTTTGCACTGATATGCCTTGCTGATGGCCTGTTAAAAGGACTGAGCAAGAGCCATCATGACCTCCAGCAATGATGCTGCAAGATGCAAGCCTTTTCTTAGAGGGTTGCGGCCATTCTATCTGAGGTCTTACCAACGCATCCCTGCGGCATTCCCAGGCACCATATGATGGGCTGTCCCTACCCTTAGCAGCGCTAGCAGAGGGCAAGGGGTGCCGGTGGAAACGCAGGCCTGGGAAGCAGGTCACGACAACCGGCTCTTCTGGTTCCCTTCGTGATTCAGCCGAGGTGCGAGCGGTGCCCAAAGCATCCTCCTGCTGCCTGCCTTTAAACTTAGCTTTGTGGCTGGTGCAGCTGCAACCCAGAGGAGGGGTGATGCGAGGAGAGAGATGTGCCAGGCTCCACCAGCACCGGCATCTTGTCAGCCACCGGCTAATGTTGAGCATTTGCCTCACGCTAGAAGTGCTGCTGGATGTGCTAATGCCCCTGCTTCTCCCCATCTATTCGCAAATGGATCCGTGTGCACTGGCCTGGGAGCTCTTGCTTGATTAACGCTGCCGGTTCAGAGAGCAAATAGCATTAACCACAGCCGTCCTCTGGCTCTGGCCATGGGGCAGACACCCTCCTGCTTGTGGGCTGAGCTGGCTCTCAATACAGCCTGCCGCCTCACCCACACTGACACATACATGAGCTCATCAATTCGCACCAGGTTAGAACTCGGCGGGTTGGTTCCACTGCAACGAGCGAGCTTTAATGAGAAAACGCCAGCAGAAGGTGCACCTCTGCTTCCTGAAATAGCCCGATGCCGCTTCTGAGTTTTGGGAGGAGATGGGGGGAGGAAGGAAAAATCACAAACCAAGAACTTAAACCAAAGGCTGAACACAACTCTGGCGGCTTTCTGGCTGCGTTAGGACAGTAAAGCAGCTCAAGAGTACAAGATGGACCAGATCCTGCAGTGACACACTGTGACTATTCCCAGCACTCCACATTGCTGTCGTACCTCCCCAAAAAGGAGCTCCCCCCCACCATCCAGCTGCAGCCAAGTTTGACCCAAGGCCTCCAGGTCACTTGGGCTCAGTCAATGCCGCTTTCAAGCGCCGTGATGGAAGAACCCTGTGTCAAAGGCTCAGACACCTCTCCAGCTCTCCCCTGCTGGGGATCTCAAAGCACTTTGCAAACTAAGACTCACAGGCCCCTCTCAGAGCCCAAGAGGTAGCCCAGTGACAGCAGACAGGAATTTGCCCACAGACGGAGCGGAAAGCTTGGAAACAGAGGCCCGGGTCTGCAGATGCAGGACCAAGCACAAGATGAATGTCTCTGCTCTGCCTGGTTGCATCTCAAGCTGTACCGAGTTTCATGGCGGGGATAAACAGATTGCTAAGACTTGGAAAGCATAAATTCAACTGCAAGTGTTCCTAACCTCTAAAGATCTGCCTTGCATCTCACATCAGTATCCTGAAGCCCTAATGCTGTAGCCTGAGTTGATACCTGGTTAATGGTTCCAAGCGGATAGGCAGGCAGATCTGCATGGAAGGCTGCAGGAGCACTGAACTGAATCCGTTCTGGACGATTGAGCCGATCACATTAAAGACAATTTGTAAAGCAGATTTTTATAAGGGGCTCCTTTATAGCTTTTACAGCAAGGAACTTTTATTTCCTTATCAGAAAAAAAAGCTAACATTGTCAGAAGGGGGAGGGAGGCGGCATATGTGGATTGGAACCAGATGAAGGTGAGCATGAAGGGTTTTCCAGAAAGCAGGTAGTGTCTCCTGCCTTCCTCTCATCCTTCTTGGCTGCTAGGTACCAAATCACAGTTTCCAACAAAGTCCACAGCCACTGATTCAAAGCTTACATATGGCTTGTTATATATATATATATATGCGTGTGTGTATATATATGTGTGTGTATATATATATCCTCAGCCAATTTGGGCCCAATGCATTGCAAACTTGAGGAACTACATACCTCAGTACGGCAGACCTGTGGTTTAGTAAGGACCGTCAGGCTGCCATGGCTTTGTGCAGCAGCTAGCACAGCATTGTGCTGGTCCTTCCCTGCAGCTCTGGGATGCATCCACAGCACAACTAAGAGCACAAATGAACGAGGAAACATACACCATGGGATCAGTCGTTCCTGCAAACGTGGTGCATCCACCACTAAACTGGTCCAGCCACGTCCCACCCACACAGGCTGCGGGGTACTCGGTGAGCATGGATTGGGGTCGGGAAGGATTATCTTCCCGGAGCATTGCAGAGCTGGCTGTACCCTTCGCTTGGCAAGGCACCACTAGATGCACCACTGGCTTATCCTGGCAGAGCTGTCAGCGGGACAGTGCAAGACAAACTACCAGGCTACTGCAGAGTGGCAGGAGATGTTTGCCTGACTGCTGGCAGCAAAGCCTTGAGAACAGCCAAAAATAGGATGGGGGGGGGGGAAAAGCCTTTTTTGGCAGCACAAGGTGAGATACCAGGCTGCGCCAGGGTCACTGTCTGCGTGTCTCCTTGGTGAAAGCTATTCCTAGAGGCACTGAGGGAGCAAAAACCCCTTTTGGTTTACCCAGCACAGTCACTTCAGCATTACTGCAGCTCTAATGCCCTTCACAGGGGTTGTGGGGAGGGTTGCCTGCAGGAGGCTGCTTGGTGGAGGGATGAGGAAGACGGAAGACCAGGTGAAGAATGGCATGGAAAGTTGTGAGACTCCTTGTGAGGAACCAGAGCGCAGCCAGGCACCTGCCTGGAAGCAGAGGAGTGCAGGGAGCCTGAGGCTCTCCCTTCCATCACCTCTTTCTGTAATGCATGGCAGATCTCTTTGTCCTAGGAATACAGAGGTATACCCAGACCTGTTTTCTCATCACTCAACCTTTTTCATCTCAGAGTCTCCCTGGTTTCACGACTGCCATCCCCTGCCATTTCACCTCTGTCCTCATCCATTTTAGCTGGACCATTGAGTCACTGTGCTCTGTTGCTCTCCCATGCACTGGATGTAATCACCTCTGTCTTTGCTAGCACCAGAGACCCATGGGCCCTGGCACTGATGATCGGTCCTTTGGCCCAGACCTTGTTAACTGCAGCCACATTTCAGTCCCAGCCCAGCCAGCCTGGCTGCCCCTCTAGAATGCTGCCCCAGCCCAATGAGAGGGCGAGCGGAGGCAATTTCACCCTGCTTTCGCTGCAGCTTCTCTCCAGCTGCAGATCCCACTCCTTCTGCAGGCACAGGCTGCCTCGTAGCTCTGCAGAAGGCTGTGTACCGACCCAGGGGTGGCACATGTGTCAGCCACCAGCACTCCAGACCCAGCCACCACGAGCTCAGCCTCAACAAGGCAAACATCGGTCCTATTTGCACTTCCCAGCTCATTCACAAGCGCTGTAAACCCGGACTGAGGGTCCCCCTTCCATGTCTCCTACAGCCGATTCCGGAAAGCCCTCCAGGATGGCATTAACCCACTCTGCACTGGAGCAGAAGAGTCGCCCGCAGGGCACTTTGCAAAGTGGGTCACTCTTCCACTTCAAAGAGGTGTGCAGGACAGAACAAACGGGGCAGGACCGAGCCCTGGGGTGGGGACACAGGGGCTGTTCTGCAACCGCCGGGGTGGGTCAAATGAGCCGGGGAGAGTCGATCCAAACCTTTGCCCACCTCCTCCTTCCCAGGGATGCATCAGAACCAAAGGGATGGCTCAGACACCACCAAGACACCCGAGTGCAAAAGCAGTGAAAGGAAGGTCTAAAACCCGGTTAGCAGCCCATCCCCTCCACAAAAGAGCCCGTGGGAAGTGTGTGTGTGTGTGCTGAGGGGAACGGGGGTTTCGGGGATGCTGGACAGCTAAACCCTTCCTTTCTCTCCTTCCGAAACATCTGTGCTCACTCCCCAGCTGGGTGGCTCCCTCTCCCTGGCTGTTATGTCTCGCTAGACGCTGCTCGATCCAAAAAGCAAACAAACGGCCTCAGCTCCCAGGACTCCGGAGCCCACTGCCTGCAGCTGCTTCCAAAACAAACGATCGTGTTGTTCCTTTCCAAGCCAGCCATGAAACCGGCCCCGACTCCCTCCCGCCCTCACGCAGATGCTTCCACACCTGCTCCAGACCCGGGCGCGCACCCCAAAAAAGCCGATCCCACCCCTACCCGCACCCCGTTTCCCCCCACCACCACCACCGGCACCCCGCAGCGCCCCGGCAGAGCCCACCGCCTCCCGGGGGGACCGGCCGGCAGCGGCTCACCTGGTAGGAGCGCGGCCGCCAGGATGCAAACTCCGATAGTCCACCGAGATGCACGGCAACTTGTCTGCAGCCGTGAAGCCATGAGAGTTCCTTAGGAGAAATGGGCAGGGGTCGGTCTGGCAGCGCCGCTGGGCCCACCCCCCGCAAAACCCCTCCCGGACCCCGGTGGTTTAAGTTCAGGTCTGCTTAAGGGGAATCAGGATTGAAAAACTGTAGGTGCGGGAGGACAAAGAGGTGCTGCGCCCGGCGGGAGCACGGCGGCCGGAGGAGAGCTTCGCACATCCGCAGGGGCCCGGGGCTCGGCGGGACGCGGGGCCCCTGTCCTCGGGCGCCGGGGCAAGCGCGGTGCCTTCCTCCGGGAAGCGAGCACGGCCGCAGAGCCGGGCGGGCGGAAAAATGCGGTGGGGAGGGAAGGTGGGGGGGGGGGGGAATAAAAAAGGGAAGGAAAAAAAGGAAAACGAAGAGGAAGGGGGGCAGGAAAAAGGAATCGCGAAAAGCGAGGGAGAGCCCTCGGCGGGCTGCAGCCGCCGCTCGCAGCGCGGCGGTCCCGTGGCTCCAGCGGCGGGGCTCGGCAGCCCCCGCCCGCTGCCTGCCCTCCGCTTGCCGGGCTGCTCAGGCGGCGGCGGCGGCGGGCCGGGTGCGGCGCTCCATGGCCGGGCGGTGGGCGCGGGGCCGGGCCGGCCGCGGGGCGGGGGATGCGGGGTGCCCGGGCTGCGAGGCACGGCCGGCGGCTCCGCTCGGCTCCACACGCACGCACGGTCCCGGGCGGCAAGGGAGGGAGGGGGGGGGGGAGCGGCGGCAGCGCTCGCCCTCTCCCGCGTGATGTCAGCGCTCAGCGGAAGGAGGGCGGCAGCGTTAACCCTTAGCGAGCGCCGCGCTCCGGCAGCCGCCCCGCCGCGGGGATGGCCGCTGCCCGCCTCGGCCTGCGGAGGGGTCGGGGGTACCGGCGTGGCCCGGCCTCGCCTCCCCTCCCCTCCCCTCCCCTTCCTGCCTCTCCTCGCCTTCCGCCCCCCTCCCGTCAGCCGGCTGCTGTTGGCAGCTGGCCTTTGTTCGGAGAGCGTCCGGCGTACTTGCAAGCGGCAACCTGGGGGTCCCAGGGCGCCGCTCCGTCGCGTTTCCTAAGGTGCTGTGCACCCAGGGGTTGTGGGCTCGAGGCTTGGTTTCCGAATTCCCTTAGGGATGGTGGAACGCCTGGGGCAGCAGCATTGATCCGGCGTGCAAAAATGCCTTACCTAAACCGCCCGGGAGATAGACAGGGCTATCAGATAGCATCTAGGTTTGCACTCATAAATGCTTTGGGTGCAGACCCTAAAGAATACACAGTGTTTTCGTGGGGCCTACTGAAAGAAGGACCTTGTTCTGGACACGTTGTGTGTGCGCTGATAAGCGAGGGGATTCAGAATCAGCACAAGGGGCTGATGCACTGGAGGAGGGAGGCACTGCTTTGCTGTGCTTTGTAGCAGCCCTTATTATGTGGACACAGACGCAGCCTTTGTGGATCTCTTGCTAAGGAGGTATTTAGCCTGCTAATGCCAGCTCCTGAGCTGCCCTGGCCTCCACAAGGATGCTGAACCCCAAACAAAGATGTGAACAACAATGACAACAACCAACAACAAAGTCACGTTGATTTCAAGCTCCATTAGAACAACACGGGAACAAATCAATGCCTGGCAAGCAGAAAAGGACAGAATCAGTGGGGAAGGATACCACACATAGTGGAAGAGGGAAAGGGGGGGCAGGCAGCAGCTATAAAAAGATATCTCTAAGGACCCCTTCAGCAGTCTCCTCCTTCTTTTAATTCCTTTAGAAGTTAATTCCTGTTCGAGGGAAGGATGGGCAGCTCTGTAACAAAGCGGATTAGCCAGATACAAGGTTTGTTCCAAAATAACAAAAGTTATTACGTAGTAATGGGGTTTAGTTAATAGATTCACAGACTTTAAGGCCACTGGGATTCCTCTGGACATCCTGCTTGTGGAGCGGACGCTGAGCTTGCTCTGATGACTTCTGCCTCCTGCCTCTTGTGTAAAGCTCCAAGGCCAGAGCTAGGAGCACCCTGTCCTTGTGGACAGACAAGATATGAGAGCTCCTGGCATCCTCGCAACAGGTTTTTCAGCGGTTGATTTTCCTGTCCTTGGAGTGTTTATCTATCTGGTTTCACCTTTAAACCATAAAATCTCATTATTCCTTTTCCCGACTCCATTAAAGAGATGCTCCAATGAGACATTACTCCCCTGGGCAGGTCTCTCTTAGTTGCAGTCGAGTCCCCTACGTCGCACAATGTTCCAACTTCATTTTCCCCAGTGTTATACTCTCCTATCTCCCTTTTAGTGTGTTGCCACTGGCACCTGAGGTGCATGGGGCAGGCCAGACCTCAGCACTATTGTTCTAAACTTTATGTGAATCCAGGCAGAGGCATCTTGGGTCGGGTACCCTCGCTTCACACATTGAGGGCCAGCATCTGGAGGTTTTCCTGTATGAAAGGGAAGAGAATAGCCAAAGCAGTGATTATGCAGTATGCCAGGCAGGTCTCTTCTCACCCTTGGCAACCCTTTGGTGCTGCTTGGCCGAGGGGAGCAGCGATGGTTTGGCAAACACTGGAATTCATCGAGTCATTCACTGTGATTGCTAGGAAGGGGAACGCTGTGCCTGGGGGTTTTGGGGTGACACAGAACAGACATGGCCAAAGCAGGGAATTCCCTCTTGGTTTGTTGCACACTGAGATCAATCACCAAAGGAAAACCTCAGGATTGATCATAGCTTGATCTAAGCGAGCTGACATTTCACTGCTCCATCTGGGGTACGATTAAGATTTCCCTTCAAGAATAGGGGGAGATTTGATAGAGCGTTGGGCCTCAGGCTTCCAAATCACAGACCTCAAGCATTTGAGACAAAAACATAACTCCATTAGCAGCAGCAGCAGTAGAACATTAGCCCTGGTGCATCAGGCCTAACTGATTGAGCCAGAATGTATTATTTTCCCAATCCTGTGCAAAGCAAAACCCATCACATTTGGCACAGTTCTGGCTGTTAACTTCTAAGATTTATTACACAGTGCCATGGGGCCCCTGTTCTGCAGCTTTTTGTGAGTCCAAAATTTCCGTGAAGCCCAAGGGGACTTGTGCATGAGCAGGAAAGGCAGGACCAGAATACTTCAGTTTGGCAGGTTTTTGTCGTTTCCAGGGGAGGAAGAGCATAATATGTAACATATTTAATTGCATCACACTGATTTTTTGGGTTTAGGGAGGTCTCTGTGTGCATGTCCTCTGATGAGGCTGCCTTCTGCTTTGCCGTATCAGCTGGTTTAGCCGATTGCTTTGTGCCTTGTCTCGCAGCAGTAGGTTTCTAAAGTGCATCCCAGCCAGAGATGTGATGGAGGAGCCCTATCAACTTTATATACCATAGTACCTGCAATAGTAGGGCAGGGGTTTCAGAGGCTGCCCATCCTTTCCACTCTTAGTGTGGGGACATGCGAACCACTCTGATGCTCAGAAATCCCTTTCATGACTCTATAAACATATTTCACTATGAATAAGAAACAAAGAGAGACAAGAATAACCTACCTGGTGCTTCAGACAGCCTGTGAGGAATCCCCCTTCCACAATGGGAAAATGGGGAAAATCATTCCTAATGCTGTACAGAAGGGATATTTACCCACTCTTGATGTTCAGGGGTGGCATAAGTCTCGTTTCAGATAGCGACGAGCCGTCAGAATGGAGATGCAAAAGTTACACCAGCCCCTTCCTCTTACACCCCTGTGAAATCTGTCTTAGGCACAGATACTAGAAACGGTGTAGTTGCTTGGCTGACACTTACATAAGTTGTCATGCTAATACGGTTCTTGAAAATTGCCATTAAAGCATGAAACAACATTTGGCTGGGAGAAAAACAAGGCTTGCTTGTAGCTGAGCACTGTTCTGTCCGCCCAGCGTTTTGGCTGTGCAGCCAGCACAAGTTTTCTGCTGATGCTGACATGTGAGGTAACGTCTCTGCAGCAACCTGCTGTACTAGGACATTTCGCGTGTCCCTCCCCAGTGGCTAACGTGGTTGAGCGCAGTCTTCTGGCAGCGTGCTGGAGGACACAGGAATGGGTTTGGTAAGGGTTCTGCAGTGACACAATGCCTTTGGATGGGGTCTTTCCTGGCGAGCTGATTCACATCCTTTCGCCGGGGGCTGCGCTGGAATCAGGGCAAATGGCTCATCCAAATCTTTGGAAATGCAGCTCCTATCTGCTCTGGGGTGAGCACAGCACATGCTCAGGAACAATGGGGCTGAGCTGATGGATTGCCCTCAGGGGACCACTTCGCTTCCATCCTCGGGGCTGCCACGGAGGAGGAAATGTCACCCAGGAATTCCCCCACACTGGTGAACTCCAGTTCCTCCCTGATGCCTGGGGCTGTGCCTCCGCTCCCCTTCTGCAGCCATGGCCACTCTCCAGTGGCTCCCTGCACACGCACTGTCTGGCAGAGCTCTGCAACTTGAAAGGCTCTTGGACTTGAATGGACATCTTATATAATTTTATACACTGATTATTACCAGAGGGGAGGAAGGGGAGGAGGAAATGCTCTCGAAAACATTCCTCTGTGGGGTTTTTCAGCTGCTTTTGCTTGATCAGGAGCCCCCAGCAGAGGCCTGTCGTTCTGAGCTGGGCGTGCAGTTGATGCTTGTGTCTCCGCTGCGTACCTGGTGTGTTACTTGCTGCAGCGCTGATTGCATTGAGTTCTGTGTTTATAAACATTTTGAATCCGTGCAGGAGGCTGTGCTGAAGGCAATGTTAAAGCCAGCATCGGTTTTGTTTTTGCCTTTTCATCTGTAAACGCACATGATGTGTCTGCAGCGCAGTCAACAATGAGGGATCAGAGGAGCAAAGGGCTTCCTGAGCTGATTCTTTGCTTGGGTTCACTTCTGAGCTCTCCTGATACAGCCTCCTACATGCTTACATGAACACACATACGTATGCACACGTAGGCACTGTACAGACAGCGGACACTCCTTCAGATCTGAAAGCACTATCCTTTTGAAAGGCAATTCAGTGCTGATAGTCACTCCTGTCCTGCTGTTCTCTGGATAGGGCCAGCAGCTGGAGAGGATATTAAATCTGAACTGGTGAGAAAATTGCCTCCCAGTTAAGGGAAGCTGATTGTAAAGTACGGTTGTAAGCAGTCTGCAAACAGCAGTGGGGTTTTACTGGCCCCCTCTCTTGAAGGGTTTGTAATAGCCTTCTTGCAATGCTATCTGAGCGCCTTAACCCTCTCAATCCCCACAGCACCCCCTTGTGAGACAGGAATTAGTCCATAATCCTCATTATACATGGAGAAAAGAAGCCCAGGGAGATTAGGAATACCAGCCTTGCAGGAAGCAGTATGAATTCCGCTATGGGCTTTCAGTGGAAAGGGCCTCTAAGTGCAAAGCTGGTGGGCTTGGTAGGACCCGCGTTTGGAAATGCCCAACAGAAGCAGATCTGGGTGCCTCTCAATCCAAGCAGCAACAAACTAAGCGTGAATTTGGTCCGAAGTGCTCCTGCATGGGTAAAACTGCTGCGAGCAGCATCCATGTGCGGCTTGGGCCACTCTTCTCGGCTTTCTGTGCCAACGAGCACCTTCCACTCCAGCCATTAATGCTGAAGTTCCTGCTGGGAGATGGTTTTAGTTTGGAGCAGAGCTCGGCAGAAGAGGGGTGGAGGCTCCATCTGTTGATAGGCAGGGGAAAGGGTTCCAAACGGCTTGAGTGCTGCGGGGGCAC